TCACTTTGGAAAATATTCAAAAGGAGTGAAACAAATTAAGTACTGTCTACCAATAGTGTAATGGTTGGGGGTGATGAGTGTTGAAACTTAATATGAACAGAAAAATCATGTTCGAAGAGCTTTTTCAATAATTGGAGCCGCGTGGCTCAAATTCGGTTTGGTCGGTAACGAATAATTTATTGTCACTAAAAAATGAAATTAAATCATGTATGTATATAAATATTATTATTAGAATTTAGCTCTTCTCTGCCAACAACCAAAGACTGGAGGGGAAAGATCTAGCAGGACAAAAAAAAAAAAAGTGATACTCGCTTTCTAAGTCACATCAACGAAATTCATTGAGTCATATTTTTATTAATACTTTTATCAAAATTAATTAGAGAGTCATCAATGTAGTTTATGTTCATTTTGGTTGTTTAATTAGGTTGAGATATCTGTGCCATTAGTTGTAAATATTGGTTTTATTGATTTGACTAGAGATTCTATATAAATGTTTTGTCTACTTATTAAATGAGCACAGAGGATCTGAACTGAGTTTATTTTATTTTAAATGATTTTGTGCTGTGGAAGTAAATATATAATAAGAATTTTATCTTTAAAAGCTCTAGTTGTTTGTTTTAATGGCTTATTTTTAGTCACCAAACATATAATTAAGTACAGCTGGAACAAAGGCAATGCACGAACACACATCCCTAATTTATACTTTAAAGCAATGTATGATACGTCCAAAATGTTTTTGTTTTCAAAGGAAACGAAAAAGTGCACTGTACCTTATGGTTGTGTTTGTTGTAAGGCAATAAATTTTCTCATTTTCTTTTGATGATTAGAAAGGCACTTTTATGCGTACTAAACATTACTCCGGTATTTCGCAAATGCTATTACCTCGCTTGTTTTTTTTTTTGACCAAACTATTACCTCGCTTGTTGAAAATTGAATTTGGTTTTAATGCTTAATTTATTTTGTCTCTCAAATTTATAATATTTTATCCAAATATTGCTATTAATTATAAGATATTCTCACCAAGAAATAGTTTTAATACATATAATTAAATAGGATGGTTTAAAAAAGTCAACATACATTTGTTATAATTAACTAATTTAACTAATTTTTTTAATCTTTTAAAATTATCTAACTCTTATATAAAAAACGTAATAGTAGTGTATAAGTGATGACAACAATAGTGTAAAACGGACAAACATCCAACATAAAAAATTTTAATTACCAATAAAATATATATTAAAAAAGCTAATAGTAATTACAAATGTGACACACACTAAGAGTTAATTGGGCAAAATGTTGACATTTGTGTTTAGTTTTATTTCCACTATATCTAATTGGGTACCTCATTTGGGACGGCTCTTCAACGGTCTTGTGGCATAATGATATCATTCCTACCTGTAAGGTAGGGCTTCCTAGTTAAAGGCACGTGTATGGGCTTAGAGACAAATTTAAGCTGAATACCACAGAACTATTGGGCTAAGCCTCACTAGGCTTGCACAGGAACACGCGGTCAGCGGCCTCACATTGGCTTGGGACTCCGGATTTAGGAAAGGACCTTTAGAATCAGATTCAAAGACTTCGATTGTTATGATGTCGAGGGCCAAAGTTGAAGACAAGTGCAGTCTGGTTTTTCTGGAGATAATTCAATTCGGATCTGAAACGGCAACATATTCCAAGAGAGGCCAACAGTGTGGCTGGCGCTCTTGCCAACGAGGGAATGCCTTCTACTTCAATTCTGGATTCCTGCCCAGACCGTTTGAAGAATTATTTGTGTCACAAAAATAGTTTGGGATTCAAACTCCTTTTTGCGTGGTTGGACGGTCCTTCTAGCCCTCTTATGTATCAAAAAAGAAAATAGAAGGAATTTTTAGTATTTTCACACTACATATAAGAATATGAAATGAAAAATTCTAGCGGAATTTCAGGGACTTTCCAACAAGTCCAAACATGTTCGTAAAACTGTAAGCCCACTTCTAGCTCGCTCATGTTTTCATTTCCAATTGGGTAAGTATACATTGATTTTATTTCTCAAATACAATTAATAATTTGATCTTATTATTTATAATGCATCTAATATCCTAATTTGATTTTTTTTTTTGTGTATTCAACATCTTAATTTTGTTTATTATACATCCAGTGTTCTAAAAATTAGGGTGCTAGATATATCGGAAAAATATGATCAGCGTATTGGATGCATTTTACCTTTCCACTTTCTTAAAAAACACTTCCAAGATTCTAAACATGGCATAAGGGAATTCATTAGGCAATGACGACGATACCCCTTTGCCCTTGGATGCTTCATTGCTTTGCTATACCAGCTCCATCGTGCTTCCTCTGCCGTAGATCTAGCAAAGAAGATGAAGAAAATACGAAAGCAGATAAATTACTACCTCTAATACTAAATATAAGATCTAATTTGTGGTGCAAATATAAGACTTGAAGGTTAAGAAGAAACATTAAACCGTGAGTGAAATTAAACCACTAACGATAACATTTTATTTTAAAGATTGGATTAATAATGGACTTAGTTAAATTATTTTTTATTGAGTCAGTTCTTCTCTTCTCTTTAACTAAAGTTTTGCACCATGCATACTTTATTTATCAAGCAATTAAGTAAAAAAAAGTGGCGCATGACTTTTTTTTGTGTGACTACGATCATTGTTAAAAAATTTTACATTTCTCTTTATTTCTTGTTCCTCTTTCCCATTCAATTTCATGTTGCCTTCCAATTCCCTTTGCGTTAAAAAAAATTCTTCCTAATAAACCAAACAGGCGTGAAAGAGGGGTTGGATTTTCTGGGCGTGGAACATACGATGGAGATAATAAACTTGTTACACTTAAAAGCTCCATCGTATATCATTGTGAAATATGCTCACAGGTCCAGCTTCACGTGATAAGATCACAATAGATTCAAATTTCTTTTTATTTTCTTTTCTCTTTCCTTCTTTTGGCCTAAACAATCAAAGTCTACTTTATTGGGAAACATATATGCAATGAGTCAGTGACTCATTAGTTATGATTCAAAGATCTTATTAAAGTTGCTTTCTTTTTCTTTTTCTTTTTCTTTTTTGGTAACCAATTCCCTTCCTTTCCTTTTCTTCTTCTGTCAAAGATCTAAATATACTTGTTTATTATAATCGCTTAAAATTACAACCCTTAGATCCAGCTGGAGCTATATGTGTGATGTAACTGTTAAGAGATTATGTAAAATATTATGAGGGCCCTAAACTTGGAAGGGAATGTTTGATTATTCCGAAGGCTCAGGAAGGGGAAAGCAAATATAGAGTCATTTTGGCTAAGCTACTTCATTTTTTTTTATTTCATTAAATATATAAAAATAAAAGTAATTTTCTTCCTTTCCTTATCAAGGTCATAAAAAATTCCAACGAATAATCATTCCATTATATTGGGATGGGGCATAAGTCTCTAAAGTGAGCTTCATTAATCATGACCTATGAATATCCTATGCTTTACATTACAGACGTTGATATGTATATATGTGTATGTATATGTATATAGTGTATTGTACAGTGTTAAAAGCCATGTTTTCAAGCCCATGACGAGTTAAAATGGAAGAAACTTGGCTTCTATCCTCTTCAGTTTGAACAGTATGCCAAATAATAGTTTAGGATCATTAGATGAATTTAAATTCATTTTAAAAAAACAAGATATATTGGATAATTGCATGCTAGAACCTTTGGTTAGTATAGATGGAAGATTTCACAGCTTTCACAATTTGACACTTGAATGTGGACAATCTGCCACTCTATGTTATAACTTATAATACAAAAAATTTGAAACACTTGTTTAGTCATTATATCAAGTGTAGAAGTTTTAGAATCATCATCCAAAATTTGACATTGAAATGTCATATAACTCATACCCAATTTTAACTCATAAGATTTTTTAAAAAATCTTATTTAGTTAATAAGTCTACATGCAAGGGTTTGACTTTAAGATCTTAGCGTTTGCAACTAATGATCCAAATTTTAACTTGAGAAAACCAAAATTTTCTCTATAAAAGGTGAGGAAAGTGAATGGATTATGAGTGTGATATGCCTCTAACGTCCGTCCCGTCAAAATCATGCACATACGCAAAGTTCTGTTGGCAGCTAAATTTTTGTGGGGAGTACGAGACGTTGTTACCATAATTTTTAGGGAGAATGACACTACTGGAAAGACAGTAGAATTTTTTTTTTAAAGACTCTAAGGAATTTTTAAGCATTAATTTTGACTGCAAAATATCATATTACCCCTAGTTTTTTTATAAAAAAAAAAAAATCTTACTACCGCAGTCGGCCACCACTATACTCTGACTGCCAGTGGCTGAGCATCTGGCGCTCCAAGGGATAGAGCCGGAGAATTATTGGAAAGGAGATGACCTAGAGAACAATGACTACCTTTTCACTTTTAAAAAATAACAACTTTTATTATATGAAATCACAATAAAATCATAACAGTGATAACTAGCTAGTATTTTGAAAATGTCGCTGATGACTAGGTGAATCATTATGTCATGGTGCTCATAACTGCAATAAACACCGAAACTGATTCTATTCTACAATGACTAAATGCGCGGCTTCGTTCTTGATATGAAATGAATTTTATCTCTATTTTTTAACGATGTCCATGCACTTTTAATAAAGTCAGATATCAGTTCTCACGAATATGATGAATCCATATAATCTGTTGAGCGTCTGCTTGTGAGGTAATAGTAACAAATTTAAAAAGAACTTTGACAGATCCACATCATCATCTACTTTATATCAAGATGACATAAAAAGGAGAAGGCTTCGTTGAAGGAATATTGATGGCTAGTTAATCTTTTTTGAGGTCAATTATGTCTGCAAGTCTATCGTAAAATATAATTTCATACTGACCAAAGCCCATTCCATACCATAAGAACGTCTGTCCCAAGCCTTAGCCACCAACTCACCCACCGGACTAAAATACCATCTTTGAATATATTCCTGCTGATTCAAAAATTTACCCAAAAAAACATGTCTGAAAATGATTCCACTAAGCTGCTAGCATTATTCTTGTGTGTTACTTTCTTTGCATTTGTCTCCGCTAGAGATAGCGAAGCAAAAGCTCTGTTGAACTGGAGAGCTAGCTTCAATGACCAAAGCAAAGCTATCTTGTCCTCTTGGAATAATGCCACTGATCCTTGCAGACAGTTGTGGAGGGGAATTTCTTGTGATGAACACATGTCTGTGATCAACATAAGTCTCTCAAATCTTGGCCTTCAAGGTAAACTTTCCACTCTCAACTTCGCTGCCTTTCCTAATCTCCTCTACTTCGACATACGTTACAACCAATTTTATGGATACGTTCCCCATGAAATTGGTTATTTGCCCAGGATTTCGATATTGGGTTTGTCAGATAATCCAATTTGGGGTCGCATTCCTCCTGAAATCTGGAATCTAACCACTCTAAGTCAACTTGATCTTAGTACATGCAATCTCACAGGACAAATTCCCCAAGAAATTGGGAATTTGAGGAATTTGAATCTCCTGTGGCTTGGAGAAAATTTGCAGCTTTCTGGTCCCATCCCGGAAGAGATTGGAATGTTGAGTAATCTTGTAGACCTTCGTTTGCAAAGCAACTATCTGTCAGGGAGAATCCCATCATCAATTGGAAATTTGACCAAGTTACAGATGCTTTCTCTTTATGAGAACAATCTCGCAGGTCCTATTCCTACTGAATTCTGGAAACTCTATTCCCTTGTTAACATTCAATTCCGTTATAATAGATTTTCAGGGCCAATCTCTCCCTCTATAGGAAATCTAACAAATCTCATACAATTGTCCTTTTCTAATAACAAATTTTCTGGTCCGATTCCTCCATCCATTGGTAATTTGATCGATCTAGACCATTTCTTCCTTCGAAACAATAGTCTTTCAGGATCTGTTCCTTCCTCTATAGGAAATATGACGAAGGTCATTGGATTGCACTTGGACATCAACAATTTTAGTGGTCGACTTCCGCAAGAAATGAATAACTTAACAAGTTTGTATTATGTGCGACTGAGTGATAATCATTTTAGTGGTCCTTTGCCACAAAAAATTTGTGAAAGTGGGAGGTTATTTTGGTTTAATGCTAATGATAACCATTTCACTGGTCCTATTCCAACAAGTTTGAAGAATTGTTCTAGTCTAAAAAGACTCAGGCTTGAAAATAACCAAATAGTAGATAATATAACATATGCTTTTGGAGTATATCCTTATTTGCGCTTTGTTGATCTAAGTGGAAATCAATTGTATGGCCACCTTTCATCTGGGTGGGGGAGGTGTCAAAATCTCACTCATTTGACTATTCACAGCAACAAGCTTTCTGGTGATATACCACCAAAATTAGGAGAGGCAACTCGGCTTGAATTACTTGACTTGTCTTCAAATCATTTGTCTGGACAAATCCCAAAAGAATTGAGAAAGTTGGTCTTTTTGCGATTCCTCTTTCTGACCCATAACAACTTTTCTGGTGGTATCCCCTCAAATATAATAAGATCACTTAACCAGCTTGAAAAGTTGGACTTGGCAGAAAATAAAATTAGTGGCTCAATCACAAGAGAGTTCGGGGTATTAAAAAGGTTAAGGATCTTGAATTTAAGCAAAAACAAATTTGATGAAAGCATTCCCATTGAGTTTGGCCAACTAGAGGGGCTTGAAGAACTTGATCTTAGTGACAATTTCTTGACTGGCACAATAGCAGCAACATTTGGAATGTTCCCCAACTTGCAAGTATTGAACCTTTCACATAACAGTCTTAATGGCACCATCCCTTCTAGCTTTAATGGACCAGTGTCAGCATTATCTGTAGTTGACATATCATACAATCAATTGGAAGGCCCTGTTCCAAACAAACCAGCCTTTCGTAACTTTGATGCATTGAGGAATAACAAAGGTTTGTGCGGTAATATCGCTGGCTTAAGTCCTTGTGGAGATTTCCAAACAAATGGGCACAACCAAAAGACCAAAAAGTTCTTGATAATACTCCTCCCTTTGGCCCTGCTGCTACTAGTACTTGTTGGAGCATCTGTCATTTTTTCTCTAATAGTAGCAAAAGCTAAAAACAAAGATGGAGAAGCTCGACCAGAAGATGTTTATTTTGTATGGAGTCTTGAAAGAGAAATATTGTATGAAGATATCATTGAAGCCACAAACGAATTTGATGAAAGATATCTAGTTGGGAGAGGAGGCCAAGGAAGTGTTTATAGAGCTGAGTTGCCTACAGGTGACATTGTTGCAATAAAGAAGCTTCATTCAATGCCAAGTGGGGAAATCTCCAACCAGAAAGCTTTTACAAGAGAAATTCGAGCCTTGACGGAAATCAAACATCGTAATATTGTGAAGTTGTATGGGTTTTATTCCAGTCCACAACTCTCCATTTTGGTTTATGAGTTCTTGGAAGGTGGTAACTTGGATAGCATACTAAAGGATGAGAACCAAGCCACTGAGTTTGATTGGAAAAAGAGGGTGAATGTTGTCAAAGGTGTGGCTAATGCTTTATTCCATATGCACCATGGTTGTTCAATTCCTATCATTCATCGTGACATATCAAGCAAGAATGTTCTTCTAAGTTCTAACTATGAAGAAGCTCGCATCATTGATTTTGGAACGGCAAAGTTTTTGAATCCTAACTCAAAAAATATGACCACATTTGCTGGCACATTTGGGTATGCTGCACCAGGTAAAACCTTTTTGTCTCTTCTTTCCAAAATACTACTCTTTACAAAGCTTGCTTTGGATATATTTATACGCATACACACATAAATATTAAATCTATTGCAGAGCTTGCTTTCATCATGGAAGCGAATGAAAAATGTGATGTATATAGCTTTGGAATGTTGACTTTAGAAATCATCATGGGTACACATCCTGCAGAGCTTATTTCATACTTGGCAGAGAAACCGACTAATAATGGTTTGTTGTTTAAGAATGTAGTGGACCCACGACTTTCTCCCTTGACATTCAGAAAACCAGTTCAAGATGAAGTTATTTTAGTTGCAAAAATAGCATTTTCTTGCTTGACTGAGAATCCTCGGTCTCGTCCAACTATGGAACAAGTATCTACGGAGCTTGTAAGGAGACCAATATCTCATTTACAGGATCAATTTCACAGCATCACAATTGCAAAACTCATGAGGGATTGAACTTCATTTCTGAGTGTCTGCTTGTTTAAATCGCCGTTGCACTTAGCGTGGCATTTTACTGTACGCATTGTAAACTTGTGGTCTTTGTATTATGAATGTTTGTATGATCTTTTTGGGTTTTGAATGAAACTGAAGTGATTGTTTGGTGTGAAAAGTTACAAAGTAAAATCACTTGACATTATATTAAATCTCTCTGATATGCAATTTTATATAAAATAATATTTCTTTGGTCCTTAACGTGGAACCTAATTTGAGTGTTGATATTAATCCTATATGCAAGACCTATTTCACATGGTTATCAATTTTTTTTCCAAATTAACCCTATTGATATTCTCCTAATAATAATCAAGTAGGAAAGAGAGGAAGAAAATTAAAAAAGATATAGAGTGTTTTAGAAAAATCATTTCATGTAAACTAAGCTAACTAATATTTTTAATCTACTCAAATTAGTTAATTAGGTCTTACAATTAGAACAAAAGGTTTATATATACACACATGTGTGTGTGTATATATATATTATCCGCAATTGAAGAAGCACAGTAATATGATAGTGCGATGAAGTGGTCCTCTTATAAATTGTATAACATGCTATGTATATCAACGGATGGGATGAGTGTTGTTTCTTTTGACATAGTAATTTTAAATAAAATATAACATTCAAAACACTTAGAACAAAAAAAAAATTATAAATTCTCCATATTTACTTATTTCACATTGTTGTATTTTTAAAAAATATATATTTGGAAAATAAAACGTATCCGCAGTGTTGTCCCTTTCAGCTGCTTCATTGTGGCTCACCAGGCGTGGTTCTACCATCCTTAGCTTTTCTTGAAAATATAGTAGCTTTGATGTTGAATCATGTTAAGCAAGAGATTTTGAAACTATACAACAACCAAAAAAAAAAAAAAAAGGAGCCGAATGTCCTAATACAGTAAGAAGTTCAGAATGAAGAATGAATGAAAGACAACTAACAAAAAATGCTGACCGTAATTATATATCATAGTTGGTTAATTAGATTGTGCAATTGATCAATTTCGAAATTGAATCTTTCACTTAATGATACAAAAACGTTACTCCTCTGATCCTTAATATAAGACCTATTTAACTAATTTGATTAGATTAAAGAAGTTAGGTAAGTTAGTTAATTATAAGAAACATGATATATTTTTTCTAAAACATCATAATCATTTTCTTAATATCCTCTTTCCCTCTTCTACTTGATTATGGTTGAGGGAGTATCCATAGGAATAATTTAGAAAAAAAATTGATAAATATGAGAAATAGATCTTATATTTAGGATCAAAATCAACTCAACAATTAGATCCTATATTGAGGACTGGAGGAGTAATTTTTATTGTATGTAAAACTTACATCTCATCAATTGACGGTTTCCATGAAAAATATTTCAGGAAAAATTTTATTCAAAAAACCCAATATATATAAATTCCTCATTGGATTCCTGGATATCCTTTTCCTTTGTGAGGAACTAACGATCGTATTTCCGGTCAGGAAAAAAAAAAAAGAAAAAAGAACTGACCATCATATTTTGCTTGGGCATCTATAAATGAAAAATGAAAGTGAAAGAGATTATTAAAATTCCCTTTCAGTTTAATTTCTAATTCAAGGTAAACATTTGATTCTTTTTTTTTTTTTATAACTCGGAAAGTAACTATCATTTTTATTTTAACAAAATAGATTGTTTAAATAAAAACGAGTATTTTTTTGAAGCTATTATTTCAGAGTTTTTAAAAGAGATAGAAAAAATATGAATGGGTAAAAAGAAAATTTAGAATGTGGCTTGGGCTTGTTTGGGTTAATGTTTATAAAAGTGACTTTTATTCAAATTAATTTTTGCAAACTGAATTTGAATAAAATTGAATATGATTTATATTTTGATATACGTTTATAAAAAAAATTCAATTTAACTTGAACTTGTATGGATAATACAAAAGTTAATTTCAAAATTTTCAAATTAAAAAAAAAAAACCAAGTGAGTAACTCTAAAAAGAATTGCTTCAATTTTGAAATTACTTTTTGTCCAGCTGATTAAGTAGCCGGTTGCATGGGGATATATCTCATTTCAGTGTTTGGGCTTTTGCCCCATTTTACCCAAAATACAAAACAAAAGCCACGCGATACTTGGGCTAAATTAACGGGTTTGTAGAGTTAAATTTAGTGGATCCCGAAGCCCACTTATGTGACCAGTCAGTCTTTTTTTTTTTTTTCACTTGTCATGATAATTTTTAGTAATTACATTTATTTGTTGAGATTTAACAATGATTCTCCCACATTTATAAGTTAAATCTAAAAGGGAATTAATGAATGAAAATTAAAAAAAAAATTAAAAACAGGTCCGGTAGGCCGAACCATTGAAATGCTATTGGAATTGGAGAAATTTTTAAATACTTTGATAATACCACGTCATTGATGCTTTACGCATTAAAATCACATCTCGGATGTTTTTTTTGCCCCCTCTTGCATAACTCACCTAACATTTTTCTCTTGATGGATCATATTATTTTAATATTTACTCTGATTATAAGTACAAGAGTTATTTTAAAAATTTACTGCAATATTAAATATAAAACTTTAATCTATTTTTTCTCTAAGTTCATATTTTTCAGGGGGAATCTCATTTAAATCCAGTTAAAATACTGTAATTCAAAATCAGATCTTCACTTTAATAAATTCCTAATTAGGCCAAGAGGCCTAATTAGATATTTATTAATATTATTAGAAGACCAAAATGCCCCTCTATAATTAAAATATGAGCTGATACTTTTATATTTTTCTCCCTTAGAAATTTTTTCTCAAAAATATGAAAATGATAAATTATAACACTTTATCAATCCAAAATTTGTAAAAAGTTTGTTATCTGAATAAGTTTTTCACTTGTAATAAAATGTACGTGTGTTCTATTAAAAAAATGTATGTGTTTACTAAAAAACAATTGTATGCGTGTGTATATATTATTAAGTACATGGAGGATGATCAATATTAAAACTGAGCAGAAATTAAACCCATCCAAAGTTAAAATCTATTAGTGACCTACATTGTTATATTAATGATGATGTGTTGTAGTAATTATTAATGTGAATCAAGTATTGTGTTATAATTTTCTGTCTTCTACTAAGGAATTACTATTTTGAAATTTAATGAAAAGCCAGCAAAAAAAAATTTAAGTAAAAGAATTTGTGAGGAAAAAAAATATAAAGGTACAACTCATATTATAATTATAAAGGGGTATTCTAAATTTTTAATAACATTTATAAATCTTTAATTAGGGCTTTTGTCTGGATTAGGAATTTGCTCAAAGTGCAGACTTAATCTTGAATTTTAATTTCTTTATTGGATTTAAATAGGATTCTCCTATTTTTTAAAACATTGATATTAATTATATTATATTATATTAAATGGGGTTTTATGAATGGGGTAATAAATAAGAGAATATTTTAAAAAAATAAATATACATGTATTATAAATAATTAACTTAACTAATTTATATAATACTTATAAATTAGTTACCTACTTTATATATGTATAAATGTATATATGTGCAGATGAAAAAGGAGGGCATATAACATTTTTTCTAGAATTCTGCTTCCTTAATTTCCATCTTATCTCTAGCCACTATCAATAATTAATTATTTGTTAGAGAAGTGATATATATATATATATATATATATATTTGACCAGCAGGGAAGTGATATATTACATTTACCAAAACTATGAAATTATTAAATTAAAGTAGGGTTCATATACATATGCGTGCAGTATAAAATAAGTCATAGTAATATATAATATTAATGACGGCTAATAAAGCCTTCTATCTTATAATTCTCGCACCGCTAATGTTACTGTATGTTTCACATTGTATAATTCTATATTGGACTTTATGCATAACATGGAGAATATTTTTAAATATTTGCATTGATCTTTGGTCCATAAAGAAATTAAAAATTGACCCGGAAGGGGGTTTACATATTCACATACATCTTTAAATGTTAAATTGGTGTACTTTAACCTGGCTTCAACAACCACAGTACAACTTTTTCTTGTAGGTTAATATAATTTTTCGATCTTCAAATTTACTCTCTCATTTTAGTTTTGATCCATCAAATTTTAAATAATAAATTTTGGTTTGCCAAATTTCTTTCTGTCCAAAATATTAGTTTTTATAATTGAATAAAAATTTAGACCATTTTATCAGGAATCAAAACTATTGGTTTAAAAGTTGAGAGGTTAAATATTGTATTAAGTTTTTTTTTGTCATGCACAGTAATTGACAATGAATATTGCACGTGTACCAGGGTTGAATAATATATGTATATAATAGATATTATACATAACCAAACAATGAAGGTAAATTGACATGTTAAGTTCCTTTTTTGTAATAAAGAACATATTATGGGCTTCCTTTTTTTGTTAACTCTGTTTAATTGTGTTAAGTAGAAAAAGTGCATCATTTGGGTGCATTTTTACCCGGTGTATGGTTAATGTAAAGCCTGAAAAAAAAATCTTATAAACCTTTTTGCATCTAAAATTTGGGATGAAAGATGATTCCATCAAATTAATCTTTGGTTAGAGTCTAAAGTGTGATTCTCTAATCTTCCCCTTCCTCATACACCCCTATCCTTCATCAAATTAACCATCCTCATCAATTTGTTGTTAATATTATTTTTTTAAAAATCCAATGTTTAACTAATGACCAAAGGTTTTCATTAAGTTATATAATATTTGACTATAAATATGTTAAAGTTACTTTATAATTAGTTATATATCACAACTTGATAACAATATAAACATGATAACTTTAATTATTAGGATTGAATATTTTGGTTTTTTGGCCAAAAAAAAATTTCGGTTTCCCATTATCAATAGTCCCTTGCTTTATTTCATTGGAGGACCATTACTTCGTCCATTAACGACTCTCACTCTTTTTATAAAAGCATCCATTAATTAATTTCATTACAAAAGCAAAAGAGATACAGAGAAAAGAA